GATCTTACTGGCCAAGGTGAGGTTCCTGTCCTTCCGGATATTTTACAGTGTTGAGGCCGATGTTTTAGCCATGGCCAGTTGTCTCTTGATATCTACCGAGCTTCCACCCTCCTTGACAATCATTGACCCAAGACCATTATATAAACTTGTCCACTTGATCAACTTCTTCTCCATCAACCACCATGCTCTGTTGCATGATTGTAGTTAACTACCACCAATCATGATCTTGGTCTTGTTCACATTGAGGTAGGGTCCAAATTATTCACTTGCATCCTTCACTCTTTTTTAAGGAGTTCTAGTAGTTCTTCTGATGTTCTTGTTATAAGTGTTGTCAGTGGCATAATGAGCAAAAACTCTTAGAGGGGCAGAAAAACAATCTGCATCACCACCACTCATACATGTTACATGCAGGCCCCGCGGAACGTTTTTTTTAAAGCGGGGGTGGGGGGAGGGGCTAAAGTATTTACGATCAGGAAGAGAGGAGCGCAAATTGGCGTGGGGTCCAGGGGGCAGGGCCTCCGGAAGCTCGGGGGTTGTAAGCAGCTAATAATTGTCAGATGAGCATCCATGCAGGGGCCTGTCTTAGGGCCCTAGGTGGGGTTCAAGGGGGCACAGCCCCCGGAAGCTCAGGGTTTTTAAGCATTTAATAACTGTCAGATGAGCATATTTTGATACCTCATTTTACCTCGGGTCACTTTCTTTCTTTCTTTCTAGTTCTCTTTAACATACTTTATACAAAAAGTGAGGGGGGGGGGCTCGAGTCCCCTGAGCCCCGCCGTTCCGCGGAACCTGACATGTAGGCTTTTAAATAAGCATATTTTTTGCTTGACTGTGAATTTAGGGATATGTCATTTGCCAACATGCGCTTAACAAATTATAATTTACTAAAAAGTGAGAAAAAACCCAGGAAAATCATGTCATTTCAGCAACATTTGTAAATCACTGGTATCGAATATGAAGAAAAAACAGTTTGAATTTTATTTAGGGGGTCAACTGTCCGCCCCCCCCCCCCTCCCCCATCAGTACGCCAGGGAGTGTTGTATTGTAGACGTATCTTAGGTTGGTGATCGTTCGTCCACCAACAGAAACTTGACCATAAAAAGCCTTTCTCATGATGAATTCAGCATAGATGTTGAATAGTTATGGGGATAGGATGCAGCCTTGACGGACAACTTGACCAATAGTGAACCTTATGATGTAGCCATTCTCTCTTCTTACTGTTGCTTCTTGGTCTTGGTAGAGCGACTGGATGAGTTGAATAATATGTGCTGGAAAGCCCATCTAGCTCATAATCTTCCATAGGCGTTTATGTTGTCCGCAGTCAAAAGCTTTGGAATGATCAATAAAGCTAGGGAGAGAAGTTGTTGAAATTCTCTGCTTTTCTCCATCAAATTTTTGAGATTGCCAATTTGGTTTCTTGTCCCTCTTTCTTTTCTGAACCCTGTTTGTTTCTAATTCTTTCAGCAATTAAGTGAAGAAGAATCTTACCGGCATGCGGAGTAATAGAAATAGTGCGGGTGTTGGCACATTCATTATTTTGTAACACCTTTCTTTGGGAGTGGGAGAAAAACAGCTCTATTCCAGTTTTGTGGCCATATTCTCTGTCTCCATATTTTGTTACACAGCTATGCATGACCTTTACGCCCTCCTCTCCACTCTCTTTGAGAAGCTTCGCAGGGAATTTTCAATACCAGGTGCTTTCTCAGGTCTCAGATGATTTATTGCTTCCTTCGCTCCATTTTGTAAGATGTCAGGTTCAAGCATGGGCTCGTCCTCGACGCTTATACTCCTTCATGAGTATCAACTTCTTCAGTTTCTTTTGCAGTATACGGTTTTACACAATATTACTTCTTTCACGTTGCCTTTATATCTTCATCCTCTGTTAAAATGTTCCCATTTTCATCCTTCAAGACATATAAGTTTTGGTGTAGGTTTCTTGGTCAGTGACTTGATGTGTTACTAACTTCACTATCTCTTCATGACAACAAACTACAGTTGATCGACATCATAATGCGCGAGTCTGCAGGATGATTGGGTGTTCAGAAATAGGCAAAAGCACAAGCTGGTCATTACCGTCAAGATGAGGTTCCTGTTGAAGTGATTCCAGGCAATGATGTCATGCCAAGGAAAGGTCTGTCCACAACATAATTATGAAGAAGCAGGCAACATCATAGTACAGCAAGCGATTCGAATTGCTGCTAATGAGAAGAGGTATGTTAGGGTCCTAGTGGATGACACATACTACTTTTGCATCATTATCTACATGACGGACTTATGAAACGCTAATGACCATGGAGACGCCCATCACAGATCGAACTGTTATTAATGTTCCTGCCACTGTATACAAGTTAGGGGATATCATTCCATCGATGTTGGCAGGACATGCGTTGACGGGATGCGACACTCTTGGGGCATACTTTGGCATTCGATAGGGTACAATGCTGAAAGTGATGAAGCAGAACATTCTCCCTTAGAACTCAGTTGGCAATGTTGATGCAGCATGGTCATATGTCATCACTCAACCTACTCAATGCTTTGCTTCATGTTATGGACAGTCAACAACCAGCTCAATGTCAGAGGCTCGTATCGACGTGTGGCTATCAAGGGTCCGAAGACTAGGAGCTACAAATACCCCAAACCTTGCCTCACTACCTCAAACTACTGAAGCGTTTGTAGAAAATGTTAAGAGAGCTCATTTGCAAACATGTGTGTGGAAGCACGCCTTACAGTCAAAACTTCGAACACATTTGTTTTGAATATTTTTGCAGAATGAAGTGTTAAATGACACCCTCTTTCGCATAGAATATTTTAGGGTTCCTAACACTTTAGAGGGCTTTTAAACAAATTTCAAGATTTTGAAGCAAAGTTATAAACGGATATAAAAAATATCGGTAGTTCGTAATTTTTAGGTTCATATAAAAGAATCTAGTACCTTAGAATACAAATCTAGTTTCCTAACGCTGTCACTGAAAAGGGGCATTTATCACCATACGCCACCTCATATCTATGGGACAGAGAGCATAACATTCAATCGTGTTTTCTTCGAGTATTAAATTACAAAATAAAAATAAATGTGCAGCACAATTTTTACTCACTATATCCAGTGCATCTGACTCATGACATATGATAATCTCATGTTAGAAATGGGTATTTGGCCATCATTTTGAACAATGCAAGTTAATGTGTCTATAGAGGGCGCCATTCCGAATTATGCAAATTTACATATCATTTGTGATCATACAACATCGCAATTTTTATTTAGAGATGATTGTAGAAAAAAATCAAGATATTTGACTGCCACTTAATGTAGTAAAATGCTGTTAACACTTTTTATATCATTAATTTTGGTTAAAAAGGGGATTTTGGCGGCCATTTTGTATGACGTCACATATCTCAAATTGCTCAATGCTGACAGAGTGTCAGCAATCGGATTCTTCAAATTGATGGTCTAAGGAACTATAATCCAAAAAAAAAAAAAAACTATAGACCCTAAAACAAGGTATATCGAGATGGCTGCCGGACTAACAGTGGTTTCACGAAATTTACCTTTATTATAATGGTTAAAAAATAGATCTTCAATTAATTTCTTTCGCGGCACCCCTGTTGAAAAACGCTGAGTTAAAGAAACCGCAGGCGACGCTCCGGGAAATGGAAGTTGTTCAAATGAATTAAATTTTAAGGAGGAAAAATAGACAACAGTATCAATAGCATCTCTAGTGCATACGTAAATTATGAAAAACGACAATCAGTCAGCAAAATGTATAATAAGAATTGATTCAAATGGCATGTCATGGTTTTCAGTTCAGTTGAAAATTAGAGTAAGAGGACAATGTTTTATAATAGTTATTTTTAATAACAAACAAATGTTGTTAATGTTATATAGAAGAGCGAAACATTATAAATAGACACAATCTTCGAATCATAACTAGCCTGGTGCATATAAGCATTACTTTAAAGCCCCACTGTTTATAGCTACTTGCGCCCTCTTTAATAGCAAACAATGCCTAATCGATGACCATTGGTCCCCCATGATCATCTTTTTCTTGTGTTAAGTGAGTCTGATTTGATGAGATAACCACCTGCCAGTCACCTTGCAGGGTGGTCTAATCCCTCCTTTAAACTAGTACAGATGGGCTTAAACGGAATTCCGAGTCTAGATTTAACAGTGCCCTCGATTCTTTCTCCGGATAAAGTACATTACCCTGCTTATTGTTCCTCTCTCGTTCCCTAAAAGGGGCTGTAGCATGGGATATACTGGTTGACGCCATTAACGTCTTATTTTGGACAACTGCACGTACATGAATGGACTTGAAACTGGCTCATCGCACGCTAGCGTTCGCGAAACAGACCAAAGTTCTCCTTCGGTTTCGCGTTTGTTGCACGCACGTGAATATGTAGTCCTATACTGCGGTCGCGTCGTAAAATTTTAAATTTTAAATTCACTTTGTGAAAAATATGTTTTACTATTTGTCTTAAGATGGCGCAATTTGTTTTCCTATCGGATCTATCTAGACAAAGAGTGTGGCCAACTTTGTTTCATTCTGATGCTTAGTTGGGCAAAGCAGAGCACAAGAACATGCGCCTTGTTGTGTCCAGTTGAAAACATGTGCATCAATGGCCCTCTTTCTCATTTACGAATACAAAATTAGATTCACTAATCAATATTGTAATTATTTCTAATTAAATTTTGAAGTACGATTTGAACAATTATCTTTCAACGTCGTAATAAGTAAACACAGAACTACAACAAACGAACCTAACATCCTCCCCCGTGGACAGATGACGGATTATCTAAACGTGTATATCACATTTAACATTTGAATTTAGAAAGAATTATGACAATTAACGACGTGACGTCATGTAAAGTAATATTCAGGAAACATCGTAGTAATGTTGATTTCTTATTATTTCCTCACGTGATATAATTTTTGGCAACGAACATGTCGAATGGCACTTAGGAATAAGAATATAACTATTCTGTGGTGAGATAATTTACATAGTTACGGGCGGTAGAGGACCTGAACAGCTGCCCGGTATTGCTCAATATCATATGGATCATTCATTTGGGTTTCCCCGAGGTCTACATTCGACTGTCGTTCATCCTCCTCCTGAGCTTTCAGGTGTTCCAATTTGCGCTGATTATCTGCGGCTACCTTCTCCTGGTGCACAACGATCAACCGATATAACTGCAGCATCAAGACCAACGCGTTCTTGCTGGTGAAGAATAGACTAAGATGCGTGAAGATTTTATAATGGGAGATAAGAATGAGACGAAGGATCAGGAAGGGTCCATCCTGAAGACAAAGCGCAACCATGACAGCCCAGATCTCCGATTCAAGACACGCACATCGGTTGTATGGATACACCTTGTCTTCGTCTTCCGGACGCACCGGAAGCACGCGGTTCTTCCCTGGCGGATTCGGCAAAGGCATCACCTGTCCAAAGCGCCCCCAAGGCCAGGGTATCCGCGTATGCATCACAACCCGACGCATCTTCGCCAGGCGGTGCCACTTGTTGACGTCCGTTTCTTCAAGAACCCTCGGCTGTGTAGGTCTTACCGAGAGGCTGTACTCTGGTGATCCCCTGGTGGATGTTAGAACCAGGGTGAACTGGACGAGGCTCCATGACCAGAGGGTCAGCACGGCTGTGATCAGCTCACGGTTATACGGAGATTCATCGGAATTAAAGCTGTCAAAGAATTCGATGATATCCGCAGCAGTGGCGATGTAGACCAGTAGGAGCTGAGAGAGCTGATCTCTTGTGATCTCCCCCTTTGGTAGAAGCCAACGTCCAACGATCAACACAAATAATAGTAGTTGCTCCAGGGCTAACACCCATGTCCTTGCCTACGATTTTTTTTAAATGAAATAAAAAGGAAAAATTCCATTAAACATACATGTACATGATAACGTATCCCGTGAAACGAAATAAATCAATTTAGATGATTAACTAATTCTGTTCATATTGATGTATATTTCATATGCATTTTAATGTGTAGGTTTATTTGTAATTTTTTGTTTAATATATAATATATATATATATATATATATATATATATATATATATAATAATTGTTTGTCAATGTATTTTGTCTTTTACAGTTCTTAGAGACTTCGGTGCAAAACACTTGATATTAACCATTATATTATTATTATTATTATTATTATTATTATTATTATTATTATTATTATTATTATTATCATTGGCTACGGGCAAGATTTGTCATAGATATGTGGCAGATCTTATCGATAACATGTTTCATTAAAAAAAACGGGCCCCTTATCTCTTTTATAATTACCATTACAAGGTCGTCAGTATATTGCACATCCTGACTAACGGCAGGCACCCCTCTTCGGTTCAGCAAGTCAAACTCTAAGATCCAGATTGAAGGCACGGACCCCGCCAAGAAAAACAAGACGCTCGGGCAAAACCTGTAGAAAGGAAGGAAAAATGTAACATATTTATTTAAAGTCATATGTTCAACCTCTTCCCGCGGATAAAACATGAAAACCCTTTCGTTTAATCAATCAATCAACAGGTATCATAATATTCCCTATATTTCAAGAGACACCTACATTTAATTAAGATGGGGAGGATGGGATGGGGCTAACCCGCTAAAAAAAAAAATGACGCTTAATCAACGTAAAAGAATGACCAAGAGAAACAGAGGGTGAAAAAGATATAACAATGTCAATACTTTATAATCCTTTTTTTTTAGAACGACGGTGACTTATATTATTTTGCTCTAACTGAAATCGTTCACTAATTCAAAAGAAGGATAGCTTTATTCAGGAAATATGATAATTGACTGCACTAGACGATTCAAATTTTCCATTTTCATATCACTCAAGGATGAATTTCAAACATGAATAATGGGAGACTCTTATTCAAGGGCATTGCAAACAATTGTACTCTATTCGCAATTTATTCAAACTGATACATTGTGATTGATCATGTGAGTAGCATATCTGTGATGAGTAGCCTATCTTTTATTGAAATATAGCTACATTAGTTTAAGCATAGTATAGTGGCGTATCCGGGTTTTGGCCTCAAAGGGGGCAAGCTATCCAAAACTACAGTGGTCTATACACTTATGGCTCCGCAAGGAAGAAGGAGACCACTTTCTGGGGGTCTTGATGTTTATTGTGAAGAGGGTGCCCCTCCCCCCCCCAAAAAAAAGACTTACAATTTAGAGGGGCAATATGTCGTTACTCCCAATTAATAGTGATTAAAAAATATATTGCTATTATCATGAATGAGCGAGCAAACAAGAGAGGTTCTCTTAATAACTCCTTGTCCTAGGCTTAAATGCAAAATTGATCTTCATGAAACTTATTTGCAATATCGCAATGCAACTGGAAATAAGTTATAAATGAAAATGTCTCCAGTACTTTATTTTAACGTGCAATGTAACCATTAAAATAACCTGACTAAATTTCTTTCTAATAGTAGAAAATTTTAAATCATTTTTTAGGATGTGCCCCACTGACATCATTCCAAATACGTCCACGTTAAGTATTATGGCGATGACTTTCGGACAAAAATGTTGAGAGGGCAGGTAGAGACAGGAAGACCCCCCCCCCCCCCCACGCCCTTCCCCCTCACACCCTTTCCCCACACTTTTGCATTATATCCACCAACCGCCAGATTGGGCTCACTGTCTGGAATTAATTCAGAAAGAATAATGCATCAAGTACATGAACAATGTATCTCAACGAAAATGCGGGATGAATGCGTCAATTATACTGCTCAGCACGGATTACCTGACCGACAAACCTGATTTTTAAATCGGTTTCGAAACGCGCAAACAAGTATTGATATTTTGATCGAATCCCCGATCTATTTTGCAGTGATCCTTTCATGGTCCCTCATACTTGCGCATTTGAAGGAGAAGGGCAAGGGGGCAATTTGCCCCCTCCTGACACGTTTCAAAGATGGGGGTGGGATGGGGAAGCAGCCAGATTTTATGAAAATCAGTTGTGTTTATTAAAGTGTAATTAAAAGTTTTCAATCCATCATTTAGTTTTTAATCAAAGTCCCTTGTCTTCAAAGGGCTTTGGGATAATACCGTGTGAGCAACAAAAAAAGTTCACACCTAGAAAATTGCTAATTATTTTAAAAATGATCTATGAACAGTAAATTATTATACATCTTTAAATATGAAAAAGTGTTTTATCCCAAATCATTTGATATCATTTTTGTCTGATACCAAATGATTTGGGATAAAACACTCTTTCATAAGATGTATAATTATTTACTGTTCGTAGATGATTTTTTAAAATAATTAGCAATTTTCTAGGTGTAATTTTTTGTGGACTCACACTGTATATCCCCCCCCCCCCCAAAAAAAAAAGGGAGCACGCACACCCACAGACACGGTAACAAAGCTTCAATTTCGCATCCTTTGAATATAATTATTTGATGTCTTGAGTACATTAGCGATGTAGGAACTTTGCAGAATTGAAGTGTAAAAGAAAATGAGATTCAATCAACTTCTCAATAATATTACAAATACATGATAGAAGAGGTCACCCGGAATGTTCTAATACAAAACTATACATAAAATAAATTGTTGGACCACTGCCAGTTTATGACACTGTCTGCGCAGTTGAATTGATATACTGAACTATACTGCTTGCGTATAAATAGGCCAAAGGGATTGCAATTATCTGCACGCACCATTTCAGTAATTAATTTTAGTTTCACCCCCGCGGATCGGTAACAGACTCGGTACATACTCGACTATTTAATCAGGAATTTGCTTCGAACATGGCTGTCAATTTCATATTGGCCGTGGGTCAGATATTATTACCCACAACTTATACGGCTAATAAAAGTTACATTTACATGTACATAAAAACGCACGCATATCCCGTATCTACGCAGCTATACTAAATAGGGACTTTTCGATTTGCATGTCGACATAGTAATTGACTGCTACGTTTGAAGTCCTTTTAAGGACATGTGACATCCTTTTAAGGCATTAGCAATGCCTTAAAATGACTGGGGACTTTTCGATTTGCACGTCGACATAGTTGACTGCTACGTTTGAAGTCCTTTTAAGGACATGTGACGTCCTTTTAAGGCATTAGCAAAGCCTTAAAATGACGCCACACGTAGCAGTCCACTGTGTCGACGTGCAAATCGAAAAGTCCTATTAACCGTATCCGGACACCTACCCTCTGGACAACCACCCCCGGATAAGCACCCCTAGGATAGCCACACTCTAGGACAACTACCCCTAGGATAACTACCCCGGACAACTACCCCAAGACAACTTCCCCCTAGGACAACCACCCTTCAGGACAACTACCCCTGGACAACTATCCCCACACATATAGGACATATACCTCCTTGGCATTAACCACCTATGGTAACTACCATCAAAATACTCTCGGACAATAACCACTTAGGGTAATTATCATGCGGGGGTAGTTATCCTAGAGGATGGCTGTCCTATGGGGTAGTTGTCTGGGTGTAGTTGCCCGGGGGTAGTTGTCCTAGGGGGTAGTTGTCCTATAGAGGGTGGTTGTCCTAGAGGGTAGTTGTTTGGGGTAGTTGTCCGGGGGAAGTTGTCCTAGGGGGTAGTTGTCCTAGAGGGTGGTTATCCTAGGGGTGGTTATCCGGAGGGCGGTTTTCCAGGGGACAGGTGTCCTAGAGTCATAATTAACAAGACCAAACAAAACAACAACAAGAAACAAAAACAATACAAGACAAACAAACAAACAAAACAATGAACCTGAACAAAAATGGGAATCGTGATTTTGAAACACCGCCTAAAAATACCACAAATTTAGAATACGATATTAAAAAAACTTATCAAGGAACCCAACAAAAAGAGAGAGAGAGAGAGAAAGGGAAAGAGAGAGAGAGAGAGAGGGGGGGAGAGAGAGAAAGGGGTGTGTGTGGATAACACCATGAATAGAAAAAAGTGATCCTTGCATGGTTCCTAAACAATTATATATCTAAGCATTTGAGTTCACTCTTGAGGATCCGCTGATGGTTAGAAGTCTTCTCTTAAAGGGGCACGTTCCCGCAAGTGTAGTTATCGGAACACGCCATCTGCGTAAGAGCCGTATTCTGTTGGTGTCAATAGGCAGGTAAGGCAGCTATAGCACCGTCCGCCAGCGCGTACGTATTTTGAACGCCCTCTGGAATACGGGGAACATGCCCCTTTAATAAAATAATGATCTTCCTAACGGTGACTTTAAACAAACTAATCATTATCTACTTTCGATTATCATCGTCTACGATCGTTGGTAATTATAGACCTTGGCTCTGTTTGTGTGATGGACCAATATTGGTTCAATAATTAGGAATTTAATTCAATTATTGGGGTCACAAGTCTGACGGGGCTACAGGAGAGAGGTGATGACTATGAAAAAAATAGAAAATCTAGTTTGCTTACTAAATTATACTATATTCAATTTGTCAATTATAGTGAAAGAATGTGGATATATTAAGATACTCTTTCTTATTATCTCTGTCTGTCTTTCACTCTCTCTCTCTCCCGTTATCTTCTCTTACCGTATAGGTGTATAATGTACAAAATAATCATTCGATGCCGTAATATTTGGGCTGTATCATTCCTTTTTTTTCCCCCTATATTTTACTCCTATACGATGCAATGTTCATGATGACAATGGAAGAGCGGTGCTAATATCGGAGCGCCTGGAGCACCTCGCGTGATGGATAACTATGATTGTGTGCTATAAAAATGAAAATTATTCATATTATTATTCATAATGATGTTCTCTTTTCCGTTTTGTGTATTGTAATTGTTTATCCCTGCAACCGGAGTGTTGGCTCAGTCAGTAGAGCGTCCGCCTCACAACCGGGAGGTCGTGGGTTCGAACCCCGGCCGCGTCATACCAAAAGACGTTAAAAGATGGGAGTTGTTGCTACCTTGTTTGGCGTTCAACAATAAGGGATAGAGCAACGTCGATCTGGCGCTGCTCAGTGGCTGCCGGGCTCACGATCAATTGGGCAAAAAGAATTTCCGTTTCGGTTTTATAAAATTTGGAGTGGACTATTAGGATATTATTATTATTATTATTATATTATTATGAGATGCATCCAATGTAATTCAAATCTTGGTCCTGGGTTTCATGTAACTTCTTTATTACTGTGTTATACGTACTTTCTTCAATAAAGATGAATAAACGACATATTATTATTAATATATATAATATTAATATTATTATTATTATTATTATCATTATTATTATCATTGTTATCATTGTTATCATCATCATTATTGGGTGTGTTAAAAAAAGAAGTATGCTTTGCGCTTGGTGAGACGTGAAATGCACTTTTAGTCTGACTATTTTATGCTTTGCGCACGTATTTTATGAAAACCGTATATATTTTATCACACCAAAGAGGAGCGCTTAAAGTTGACAACTGCATGCTCCACGTTTTAGATCCGTGCAAGAACTTAGCAACAGGACTTCAGTAGGTGCTTTCTACACAAGATACATGCAAATGAAGTGAGGTAATTAAAGCATTGCGACGCCTTCATCGAAAACAATATTACCATCAACTTACAAGGGAACAGAGAAAAAGGCTTTCATTGTATATCCATACAATACTCGATCGATCTCTTCATCTCTTTCTCTCCCCTCCTCCTTCCTGTTCTTTCATTTTGTTCTCCTTCTTCTTCCTTGTAAATCCTATTCTCTTCCTTTTCCCATCTAGCCGCTCGCTCTCTCTTTTTCTCTCTCTCGATCCTCCTCCTCCTCCCTCCTGTTCTTTCACCGTTTCTCCTTCTCCTTCTCCATTGTCTAACCTTTTCTCTTCCCTTTTCCATCTCTGTCATTGCACTAAACTCGTTATTTTTCTCTTTTTTCTCCATTCTTGAACACAAGTTTGATCTTTCCTAATAGGGGATCTATAGCTTCAAAAGCTCTGCGTCTTTTATAGGTTTCCTCCACTTTTTCTTAAACTATGATTTAATTACCTGTAAACAAAGGTCGATTTGATGCGAACACACCACATTGTGATATGCAGTGCACACTCTGTCTGTCCACTCATATAGGAGATGAATTTCACTATATTTTTATTTGTCCATATTTTCAAAGGGAGAGATGTTTATAGTTATCAAAAAAGTATTGTAAGTCTAAGCTCCCAAGTGCTATGCACATGACAGAACTTTTTAATGCTAGAAGCACTTCTCAGTTTGAAGAATTTAGCAAGATTTACTCGCCTTATTATGTTGAAGTTTTATCCAAAAACAGAGAAAGAAGATGAGTTCAAGCAATACAAGAAGTACAATTAGAGCTAAACCTACACGTACTCGTAGCGGTAGAATAGTGAAACCTCCTACTTTGTTTACTATATCTTGTAAATAGACTGCATTATACTTATACATTCATTATTGTCACTTTCTACACTGTACATGTATATATATATACTTTGTGTTTACTAGTTGGTTCATTTTTCATGTTTGTACTTTCAAACACTATATACCTATTATATACCTATTATCGTTTGTATCTTTGTGTCATTATGTATGAGAATTGTTTTCCTAAGTCATGCATTGGTATTTATACTTTTATGTTTGTTTGTACTCTCATACCCCGAGAGGGGGTCGAAGTGTCAATAAAATTCTAATTCTAATTCTAATTTAGAATGATTATTTTCTGCAATTCTTTTATAATGATGCAATGCATAGAAGTATGTACACCACTTAATATAAGTGCGACATCATTATTGTACCGATTTTGATTATGCATTGCATTTTTTTGTTTATGTTTTATTATATATGTACATGTATAAATTATGTAATATGAGAAAAAGGGGGAAAATTGAAACATTGAGCTATATATACATATTCTTTTCCAACATGATAACGGGTCATTAAAGCCGGGACTAAATTCGAATTAGCCTTAAAGGGAGCCCAACCTTTCTTGTCTATGAAATTTGGTAAAAACAAATATGCAGGAGGTAATGCATTTTGATTAGTTGAGATCATTCATCAGGCATTTAAATAAACTAGTATGCATAATGTCCCATCTGCAATGTTGTCATTATGTCAAACGAGAAAACAACTTTCTGCTTTTCTTTACACATAAACTCTGGAATGTTTGTTGATTTATAGTATTTAAGTGGAACAGACAAAAGCTTCATGATGGGAAAATGGTTATTTAAGTTATTTTGTGAACTGACAAATGGGCAGTTCTCTTTGTATCACGCAACAATTACATTTACCGCTTTGCAAAGTAGTTGAATTCCGGCATCGTGACCCCCCAAAACAATTTTTGATTCTGAAACGTTCTTAATACTGATCATTATTCTTCCACCTTTTCTCACAGCTTCGTCATCAATAAGTTTCTCTGATTACATGGAGGGCAAATATTGTATAGTACAATATCTTGTACAATAATATATTATCTCAAGAATCGAAACAATCTTTCCGGTCGGACAGAGACCTGCCCCCCCCCCTATCACTCGCCAATGTTTTAAGCCAATTTTATTATCCCTGTTTGCCTTCATGCCATTGATATCAAGTAGAATATGTGAGGAATTTTTATTATTATCATGAAGGAGTGTGTTTTGATCACTGTATATGAACACAATTAGCATGCACATGTATAAATGCTTTTTGCTCATCTTTCACTAAACTATTTTTGGTCTGACATGTTCATTACCTGCGTGTATTATTGCGTAAAAGGAGAGAGGAATAAATGAGTATCGAATTAAATACGGACACCCAAACTAAAACCAAATATGTAAGGGGTTGACGTTCATAAGGCTATAATTGCCCTTTTTGTTAACTTCACATTCTCGTAAAAGGTTGCTTGCTCATTCCCTTTCATGTATATCATGTTTGTATGTTTAATGATTTTTATGGAGAATGAAATAACATGAGAGAGAAAAAAAATCGCAATCCTAAACACCTATCTAAAGATTTTAAAGGTAAAGACCAGTTATGTTCATGCGATTGCATCGTGAAAGAAATGTTGTGGAATCGATCAGAAAAGGTTGATCATCTAGCATCTAGCATCTGCAAGGTTCTGGAATCATCAAAATGGTAAGAAATTTGGCCCATTCTTCGTAAAGTTACAAGCACTATACACAGAAAGATGTATGTGGGACTACCCTATATCTCTCACAGACCATGAGAGAAACAAATTTACCAAATTCGTAGGCGGTTTTCCGGCAAATTTGTTATCATCATGTATTAGTCAAAACATATTCTTTCACATGATTGGGGTAATGAGAGCTTCCATTTCATTTTTTGAAATTGGGGCGTTTCCAATACTGGTCTTTACCTTTAAGACGAAAATGTTTCCTCAGCTAAATGTCCCCGGAGCAAATTTCGAATCGATTTAGCACTGTTATGTACTCACCATTTCCACTCTTCCCCCTTGTTCTTCACGATGGTAAAGACGGTCTCGAGAAGGAGACCGATGATGGTGAGGGCTAGGAACCACAGTCGGCGGTCGTCGGTCACGGTGACGGCCCGGGCGACGGACGTCAGGTTGTGGACGATGAACATGACACGGGTGACGAGGGCGAGGCAGAGCTTCGTACCGGAGCAAGAGAAGTGCTCCTCGCAACATTTGAGAGCCATCTCGGTCGAGGAGGAAGTTTGGGGTGGATTGGGTCGGGATGCCGGGATGAGGATGAGAAGGATGAGAACGACAGAGAAAGAGTGAGAGGGAGAAAGATATTTATATAGAGATCGAGAACAAGTGATGGACAGGAGGGCAGACGGGGAAAGAGAGACAGAGAGAAAGGGAAAGAGACAGACGGAGAGAGAGAGAGAGAGAGAGTGAGAGAGAGTGAGGGGGAGACAGAAGGGAAACTGACAAAGACAGAGACTGACAGAGACAGAGAGAGAGAGATAGAGAGAAAGAGAGAGAGGGGGAGGGGAGGCAGAGAGACGGATGCCGTGGGGGGGGGGGGGTAATGGGGATGGAGACGGTAGAAGTATATTTCCAACTCTATAACCTCAAGAATTATTATAGCCCTGGTCGATTATTAATCCTCAGATATCACCAAAGCCAATATCTGCTTTATGAACTTGAAGATAATAGCACCTTTCTCCTTTGAAAAAAAAAATCATCTACCTCTGCTTTGGCAACAAATACTTCCACCAAACGAAAGGAACTGCAATGGGGACTGAAATTCGCCCCTGCATGCGATCATGCCTATACGTTACATCTATATGGCGGTGCTCGAAGTAGAATTTTTTGCCAGACAAATTCTCAAACCTAGCATGTTCTTCCGCTACATCGATGATATATTTCTCCTTTAGCGTCCGTGTGAAGTGTGAACTCACTAGGTTACATTCCCCTGATTTACAATTTTACACTGATGGAGACATCGAGATCTCAGGTACATTTCCTAGGTGTAATATCCGCAGAAATGAAAACATACTGGTCAATCCATCATCAGATATCATCAGGTGAAATGTCTTGTTTTTGAGAATGAAGACAATCGCTTCCCCGTTATTATATACTCGCTAACTTGAAGGAGAGACAGCTGCTCACATACTAGGGTCTTCTTCCTCCAATCCGTAACTTTACTATGCGCTATAGATCGTAGCAACCAAAAATCAAACCGATATATTATAATTACTAGTCGCATTGAAAACCTGGAAACTCGCGATGTGTGAGAAGTGACGGTAGATGAAAGCTTTTTGTAATCAAGCCATGTATCACAATTCATGTAAGTGATGATACAGACCCAAATCTGTCAATGAATAAAATTTTAATTTAGATAAAAGCGTTTCTTGTTATTTCCTATCTTCTCACCTGATTTCCAATGTTCTCTCCTCACCTGTTATTTTCGGACTAAGTACTTAACTAATTAATCTCGCCTTCACATTGATTTCATTTTTAATATCAAGTAATACTCTGCCTAGTGTTCTCTCATAACAAACGTAGCGTCTAGAATTCAAACTTACATCTCTAACATATACCTGCATACAGGGGCGTACGCAGGATTTTTTCAAGGGGGGGGGGGGTTTAAAACCTGGCCCAAAATATTTTGCTCCCGAAAATTTGAAAATCGCGCCGACCGAAAAGTCGCTCAGTGTGTGTGTGTGTGTGTGTGTGTGGGGGGGGGGGGGGGGTAAGCGGACACTTTTTTTTTTTTTTTTGGTCTCGAAATTTGAAATTTGACTTTTTTTTTCGTGGGGGGGGGGTGGGTAAGGTCACTTTACGTTAGCCGTGGTCATAATTTTTTTTTTTTTTTTTTTTTTTTTTTTTTTTTAATTTAAAAAAAAAGATGAAAAAAAAAAGGGTTTTTTTAAATTTTTTTTTAGGGGGGTTTACACAAATATAAATACCAAAGGAGGGTTTGAACCCCCAAAATCTCCCCTGCGTACGCCCCTGCCTGCATATACCATCATAGATGTCTTCTCAAAAGCCAAATAAACAACCACAAGTTCCAAGCTATACGCTAATATAACTGTATCTAAGTTTTGATGACTCTAACAATACATTGAAGTAAACTAAATTCCAATTCCAATGGATAATGTTGCTTCAATCTCACATCCATGCAGGTATCGATTATGGTTGACTGAAATAGGAAAATCCGCTGATCTTCTTGAATACAAGAAATATCAAGTGAGGAGTTCCAATTTTGAAGAAATCCCCTGTCCGACGAACGGACTGGTTTTCTTCAGGTTTCAGGCAAATTGCAAACAGACGCAGTACATTATTTTATCGAAGCGTACGACGGACAAAGTAATAGAGACTATTAGATTTGCACGACGGAGAACGTGGACTGCCCTTTTAAGGCAATGTGACGTCCTTTTAAGGCACTGGCAGTGACGTCACATTGCCTTAAAAGGGCAGTCCACGTTCTCCGTCGTGCAAATCTAAAAGTCCCTAATAGGAGGCTGAAGCGGACTTTCCTATAGAAATGATTTTGCGCCAAACGCCAATTCTCGCTCACGGGGGATGTTTATTATTTTGAAGTATATCTTGTCAAGTATAGGGTGATTGACTCAATACTGAGGTTTAAAAAGTTATATTCCTTGATATCATCAATATGGGATTCCAATGAATTATTTAAGCACTGTTTTATGAAATAAAATAATTTTATTGTATGCCAATTTTGTACCTCCTGGCATGTTACCACCGACTCTTTTGCCTTTAACTTAATTGCTTAATTAATAAGTGAATGAAATACTTTGTAACGAGGCACCAAAGATTTATATATCAAATTTTTATTACATTACGAAAGTAGCCTATTGGGAGAGATAGAACCACAATTGTCCAAACTATAAAGTTCATCATGGTTTTGAGAACAAAAAATGAATTGGAATTAATAATTGTTAAGAATGCATATCATTTAAAAAGTCATATTTTCTTTTACATAATATGAAACAAATCATGATAAATGGATCGCTAAATGCAGTTTCATTTCACCCACCTGCTTAACTATGCTTGATCCATTTATTATGATTATAATGATGTCAAGGATAATTGATATTTTCAAATCGTTTCATTTTCTTTAAAAATGACCTCAATTAACAGACATTACATTCGTTGAATTATGGATAATAATCGGGTTTCTGACACTGCCATTTCGGATTCTTGGATATGTCATTCACTTATTGATCATTGATCACTGTATAACACGGACTTTGTGGAAAAAAAACAGTCTGTGATTAGATTTGTTATGAGTCACCCTATACACAACGCGTTGACTGAACGTCGATTCCACAATATCGCCCTCTATGCCCGAGATGTTTCCGTAGTGTAGTGGTTATCACGTGGGTTTTACACACCCAAGGTCCCCGGTTCGAGCCCGGGCGGAAACACTTTTTCTTTTACTTTTTACCTTGTGTCGGATACTGAGTAAAGGGGTGCGATACGTGGTGGGAACCATTCCTTTTGTAATCTTTTCAGTTCATCTTCAGTTCATTTGACTTTCAAAAAATGGTACCTTAAATAAATGTACAAGGCCCACAACTGCATGCCAGGGAGTTTTCATATTTGCATCCAAAACAGAGAATTTGAAACATACCTAAATGATTTATGTATATATCCTCCTCTCTCTCTCTCTCTCTCTATCTTTCTTTCTCTCTCTCTAATAATAATATATAATAATAAGATATTTCTATACCACAAATTACATAATGCCTCTAAGCGGTTTAGAAGGAAAATAGTTGATAAGTAAAGGAAACATAATTTGCATTCTCTCCCTCTCTCTCCTCTTCTGCTTCTCACATTCCCTGTCACTCTCTCTCTCTCTCTCTCACACACACAATCTCACCTTTTCTGTACATGCAATATGGAATTGATTTTATCGATGAACATTTTAAAACTTTATATTTATTACAAAGTGTTTTCACAGAGTTGATAAAACAAGTAATAACAAACACTTTACATAGTACTTGTATATATTTCAGTTTAAAAATATTTTTAAAAAATGTAAGTACATAATGTATGTATACATTATATCATAAGAGATATGGGCCCATTGCACAAACTTACAATTGATGGTAACTTTTCCATCAATAGTAACTACCATGGAAACCTTGATTTTGGTTGGCTGTTGAGCCCTGTTACAATGGTAGTTGCCATTGATGGCAGAGTTACCATCAATTATAAGTTTTATGCAACAGGGGCCTGGTCATGCAATTGCATAGTGAAAGAGACAGTGTGGAATTGATCAGAAAATGTTGACCATGTAGCATAAAATATTGGTTTGTACTGCAAGGTTCAGGAATCATCAAAATGCGGATAAGAAATTTGGCCCAGTCTTGGTAAAAGTAACAAGCACTGTATACAGATAGATGTATACAGGAACAAGACTACACAAACACGTCGCAAACAAATGTGGTCCTCATTTTTAAGCTGTCATATCAGAATGTGAAGGCATTTGAAGTGCCATGCTTTTCAGGGAACATTTTTACTCTGATAAGTTCTTCCACATTTGCATAATAACAATGAAAATGCTCACGAATTATTTTCACCTCTCCCCAGGCCCAGAACTCAATCTTTTCTTTAAACATACAATCATTGATTGTAAAATATTTAAACTTTACTACAACTAAAACAGCTGACAATACAAATTCAATGTATAATCATGTTATTATTTATTATTATTTGTCACCCTTGTTCATAATTTAAGTGCATCCCTTTAAAAAATTAATTTTGATTTCAATATTTAAAAAAATACAGATGCATTTACAGCACTACACAACATGTAATATCTGAGATAAATTAGAGTCCTATACAATCATGTGATTGCATTGTGAAAGACACTGTGAGAAAGAAATAGAGAAAGGTTGATTATGAAGTCTATGGAAATGTATACAGATGTATACTGAAGCAAATCACATACACTGTACCGTGACACAGAAATTGGTATATGGGACCTCACACAAGTTTGGTCCAAAAATGTTCACCTATTTCATGTCATATTTAGAGTATAAGGGCATTAGCTGAGCAATTGTTTCAAGGGGATATTTCTACTATCATATTATTCCACACTAACTTACTACTAAAATAGTGATAACATCACCACTTGTAATGCGCCGGTATCCATCAAAATAATGATGCTCATGCATGGCACGTAGAAAATAGAGTAGAAATAGTCACATAAACATGAACACTTTGAGTAAAAAAATTAAACATGAAATTATATGATACACTAAACTTAAAGGCCCACTGCACTACTTATAATAGCTACCTGCGCCCTCTATATAACAGACAATGTATAATCAGTGATCATTGGTCCTCCATGATCCTCTTTTTCTATGCAACATTGAACAAGTATGTCTTGAGTGCGGTTTTAAATTCTTTGACAAATGACAGATTACGAATAGATTGTGGCAGTTGTTCCGCGCCTAGAAACAAAGTATTAGGCGCAATATAAATGTGAGCTATTATTATTATTATTATAGTATGGACCGGCCTATGCCTAGCTATGCCCAAAAAGCCCTATCCCCCATTGTACAACCAATTAAGATGAATTTGATGATCTGAGATGTCTAGAAGGATTGTATAGTTTAATCAAACTACGATTATACTGAGGGGCAGACCCATGTAAAGAATGAAATACAAGCAGGAGTTAATAACTTTGGGTATGTAATACCACCCATTTGTAAATCTTAACATGCAATTTAATTGTGTTGCTTTCAGTTAACGTCATTAACCCACCTCAATACTATACCCTTGTCATTTTTCACATGCAAACAACATTTGGGTGCTAAGTTAGGCTCTACATTTTTTTTTTCCCCCAGAAAAGTAGACTACTTTTCATGTATTGTAAAAACAAGACAAAAATAATATTTCAGGCTAAGGATTTGGATCAAATGAGAGAAGATAAATATATTTCAGAGATGACTAGATGGTAAAAAAACATATCTTCTGTGATTGTTTTGTCACTATTTTTCGACTATTTACTTTTGACTAGGGTATGTGCAACACGCAGGAATGATGGAAGCGTTTGAAATGAAGAAGACAATCTATTTTAGGTGTGACAGCTACCTAGAAAGTTAGGCTGGCAGTACAGTGATCATGAGAGTTTGGATGGATTAGGATGGCATTCAAGTGAGATTGGAAATGGGACATCTAAATCAATACGCCCCCTCTCTAGAACCGCTGCTGATCTTGATCGGAACTGTACCTGCTCATAAGGCCAAAAAAAAAAAATTGTTTGGTTGTCCTCGATTGCTTTTCTGGAGTAGGGGCGGGCGGGCGGATTTTTTTTAAATTTTTTTTAAAATTTTTTTTTTAATTCATTTTTGTGTGTCTTTTTTTGATTTTTTTTTTTTTTTTCCCCCATTTTTTTTTTTTTTTTTAAATAATTTTTTTTCCATAAAAAAAAAATCATTGGGATTGTCAAGCATTTAAACAAACAAAGTCTATAAAACACTTTAATATGGTAAAAGACTAGTTTAATGTACAATGAATATCAAGACCAACACAGAAAGTATTTTGGGCTTTGAAATACAGCACCTTTTAAATCTCCATTGTACTACTAATAGCTACTTGCGCCCTTTATGTAGCAAACAATGCCTAATCGGTGACCATTGGTCCCCCGTGATCCTCTTTATCTTATATTAACTGAGAGCTGATTTGATGAGATAACCACCTGTCCAGTGACCTTGCAGGGTGGTCTAATCCCTCCTGATAGACGGCGCTATACAAATGCCTATTATTATTAGTAGTAGTAGTCTAGTACAGATGGGCTTTAAAATGAGTTTAAGAATGCTCAGAACCTGATTTGAATGAACGGCATTTTGACATAGAAAAATAAAAATGGCAAGTTTAATAAATACCTAATTGCGTACTGAAAAGACCAACGGGACGCATTTTGATCCTTGCAAATGCATAAAATGGTATGTTTGGTAATAAAGATTGCTCCCCAAAAAAAAAATTAAATTAAAAAAAAAAAAAAAAAAAATAGAATTAAAAAAATAAAAAATAAAATAAAAAATAAAAATACGAGCGGCCCGAAAATGACGAGCGGGCGGTCGAGGACAACCAAATTATTTTTTTGTTTTGGCCTAACACTCATCTCTTCTTGGAACAAATGAGAGATGAGAAATATATTTCAGAAATAAGATAGTCAAAAAAGTATCTTCTGTGATGTTTTTTCACTATCTTTCGAATATTTTATGACTATTTACTTTTGACTAGGGTATGACAACACACAGGAATGATGGGAGCACTGATCTTGATCGAAACTGAACCTGCTCATATAACACTCATCTCACATTTTTCTATTTATATTTAGATATAAGACCACGGGCACCGGACTCTTTCAGTGCTTGATCAAGTTGACTCAAAGTCCTATTTGATCCCGCATTCCATCGGTGTAACAGCTTGATGTACATTTCAGGATAGCTCCTCATTTCCTTCTTTTCGATCCCTTCTGCGATGCTGTACTTGATGTCCAAGGAAGCACTAAGGCTGTAATAATGACTTGAGAGTAGGAGCTCGGATAGATTCCTGATGTGGACGTCTGTGACCCTTGAGTGAGTGATGGATTATATATATAACAAAGAAGAGAGAGAGAAAGAGAAAGCTAGGTACATATTACAATTGACCCCCCCCCCCCAAAAAAAAAAAATGCCCCCAAAGAACAATCCCCTCCCCCCAGACAATTACCCTCAAAAAAATTACCCTACCCCCGGGACAATTACACCCTGAGAAAGAAAAAAAATCTGCTCTTATTAAAAAGCAACTTATTATCAGGGTAGACTTCCCCTTTAATGAACAGGGGGTGGGGGGGTAATTGTCTTCAGGAGGTAATTGTCATAGCGGGTACAAAAAAAATTGGGGGTGTGGTTCTCCTTGGGGGGGGGGGGGGTATTTTTCCTGGGGGTACTCATCTAGGGGGCGGGGTAAATGTCCAGGGCGTAATTGATTTAACTTTTTTTTAATAGAAGTAACATTAGTAAGCAAATAATTACCGTTGATGAAGGTGATGGGACAAACTATCACTTCCGAGGCGATCTGGATGTAGCCATCTTTCCGAAGCGAAGCTGAGGAAGGATAGCGTATACATCCAGATCGCCAAGGAAGTGATAGTTTGCCATCGCCTGAAACGGTGATTATTTGCTTTATATTCCACATCGGAAACATTTCACTTCTTCCGTCATTTTAGAGCAACAAGTCATCAATTAACAGCTAGCAAACGGTGTAAGATACGTACAGTGCATGCAGTATGGTGTACATATGGTGTGACCATATAGTTCTTGCGTGACCAAACTTTGCGTACTAACACTAAAAGCGTTTAAAGAGGAGAGCAATACGCAACGTATACAATTAAAGTGTGTTGCACTGTGTGGATAGTACTTCTATCTTCAGTAAAAGTGCGTTGCACTCAGTGTAGATAGTACTACTATCTACACCGTGCAACGACCTTATCTTCTCCCATCAATGATGGGCGAACTCTCTTTCATCACATGATTTACTTTTAACCAATCGTAGAGCAAGATTCTTAGTATGTGGAATATAAAAGCTCATATCTAATAATATGCAGAGATATTTTTTTGATTTAACAATTTTTTTTTTTTTTTTTTAATTGATTGTCTATTTATTTATAATTATAAAAAATAATTTTAAAAAATGTGCAATACCGGTACTTACATTTCATTCTTATTTGCTTCACACCCTGGTTGGCTCTCTGATTTTGCACCTTAAAAAAGACAGAAATTTAAACCATATCGTTATTTAAATTGCAAATGTACTGACAGAAATTATTATAATGCTATTTGAGTATATTATGTACTATACTTCATTTGCTCATAATTTCTACTACAAAAATGATAACTTTAATATTCAAGAACATTCATACATTTAAAATGAAAGCATTTCTACATCTAACACTAAAATTACAGAATTAAATCATTTATTGTTTACTGCCACTACTACTACTACTACGTCTACTATTACTACGTCTACTACTACTTCTAATAATAATAATATATTTATAGAGCTCATGATAAACAAATATCTGTTGTACAGACAAAATGTGACACAATTTACAGTGAAACATAATACACAGTGCAAAGTACTAAATCTAGCATTTTTCAAAACAAGAGTTAGTACATTTAGATACAATTCGACCAATTAACAAAATATATAAAACAAAATGGAAATTGCAGGTACTATGTGTTTGCAAAACACCCACATAAAACAAAGAGAAAATGCAAATTTCTTCATTATGAATATGAATTAAAGATAATCTTTATAATTAAAGGCTTGTTTCCATAATTCTATATACTTAAAGCCCGTCTGCACTAGTTTGGCCAGGAGGGATTAGACCACCCAGCATGGTCACTGACATGTGGTTATCTCATCAACTCAGCTCTCAATTAACATAAGAAAAAGAGGATCATGGGGGACCAACTGGCACCATTTAGGCATTGTTTTCTATTTAAAGGGAGCAAGTAGCTACAAGTAGTGCAGTGGTGATTTAATATACTTGATGCAGTTCCTTATCTTATTTTCCTAAAAGCATTGAAAGAATAAGCACTTCAATTTTAAAGGTAAAGACCAGTTTTGGAAACGCCCCCCTCTCAAAAAATGAAATGGAAGCTCTTATTACCAATCATGTGAAAGAATATGTTTTGACTAATACTTGATGATAACAATTTTGCCGGGAAACTAGGGGGAAAACCACCTACTAATTGATATATTTGGTAAATTAGTTTATCTATTGGGACCAAATAGATATAACGCACGTGTCGCGCACTTGTGTGTAGTCCCATATACATCTTTCTGTGTACAGTGCTTGTAACTTTACGAAGACTAGGCCAAATTTCTTAATCATTTTGATGATTCCAGAACCTTGCAGTACACACCAATACTTATATGCTAGATGATCATCCTTTTCTGATCGATTCCACACCGTTTCTTTCACAATGCAATCGCATGACCATAACTGGTCTTTATCTTTAAATAAAAAATATTCAGAACTACTACAAAAATATTAACATTAAAACAATGTTATACTGACCAGGGTTAGATGTAGGAAATAGTTCGTCAACAATGGGATGAAGGTTGGCTGTCCGAAGTGCATGAATCAACGCCTCTTGCTGTTCAGCCTTACCCTGACCCTCATGCCACTGGCAAAGCATACTCTCTGTCCCGCTGTAGTTAATGTCATAAGTGCGTGTGTTGGTCTGCTTGTAGCGAGCGATTTCAGCTGGTATGAAACCCAAAGCTTTCCCAAGATTATCAATGTCTTCTACCTCGGATATTCTTCGAGCCACTTGTTTGAGGATGTCACTAAAGTCATGAGGTTCTGCGTTGGCACTCATACTGTATGGGGAAGGGGGGGGGGGAGAATATGCTTTGTAATTCAATTTCAATTTTTCATAACCACATGATTCACAAGCCTGAACTGAAATAGTCACTTTATTTTAATTAGATCAAGCAAAAATCCTAATTTCAGCATTATTTGGAGAAATTTTCCCAAAGAGAGAGGAGGGGGGGGGGGGGGTGATACTTAAATCTGCATCAGTTATTTTAGTTTTACCATACAAATGCTATCATGTCAATTCCAACAAAAGTTCTAATGACCTCTACTGAAAACATACTGGAAAGACAATTTCAAATTTGACATGTAAAAATAGAATTCACCCACCACAAACTTTGGTATACCAGAAATAGACATGCATGTCATCATGGGCATGGCATTGGCTCCATAATAACACTCAACACATGTATTGTATCCTCAATACATGCAGAGCTACTACTAGTAGTTGTACACGGCAGATCTCAATTTATCGTCAAAACAAAAGGTCAGAAATGATGACCAAACTCACAAAACAAAGTGAAAATGTTTTAGCTATTATCATTCATACAATATGAAAGAAGAAACAGAATTCATACCTGGCAGTCTGGGTGAGCTTTATAATGGATTCCTTTATGGGAGTCCGGAGATCGGTAGGCCTATTAATCACCGATCAGTTCCGTAGAGAAAAGTGCGTGAATTAGGATTTCTACATGTATAGATGCCATGGCCATGGAGGTTTTATTCTGGGTATTCCCCAAATCGTTAGTAGTCTGCAAAGTCAGACTTTGTTCAGATACTCATCAAATTCTCTGATGGCTTATTTATTGTAGCCAATTAAACCCATCAAGATGAGATTTCATTTAGGTGTTTATGGTCAGGCGCGGATCCAGGATTTCTTAGGGGAGGGGGCCCAACTTTTTTTTTTTTTTGCTTCCGAAAATTTTCAAATCGCGGCGGCCGAAAAGTCGCTCAGTGGGGGGGGGGGGGGGGGGGGGGGGGGGGGGGTGGTACAGAGCACAATTTTTTTTTTTTGCTTCCGAAAATTTGAAAAACGCGCCGGCCAAAAATTCGCTCAGTGGGGGGGGGGGGGGGGGGGGGGTGGTAGTGAGCACATTTTTTTTTTTGATCCTCAAAATTTTTTCAATTTGCACCCCCCCCCCCCCTTGAGCGCCAGGGGGGGGGGGGGGCCCAACCCAAAAAAAGGTAAAAATCACGTGATTTTACATGATTTTTTTCTCAAGGGGGGGGGGGGTCCGGGCCCCCGGGGCCCCCCCCCCCCCCTGGATCCGCCACTGTTTATGGTTATATACGATGATAGTGATGATGATGATTATTTCGGTGGTGGTAGTGATGATGATGATGATTTCAGTGGTGGTAGTGATGATGATGATGATTTCAGTGGTGGTAGTGATGATGATGATGATGATTTCAGTGGTGGTAGTGATGATGATGATGATTTCGGTGGTGGTAGTGATGATGATGATGATTTCGGTGGTGGTAGTGATGATGATGATGATTTCAGTGGTGGTAGTGATGATGATGATGATTTCGGTGGTGGTAGTGATGCAGGCGCGGATCCAGGATTTCTTAGGGGGGGGCCCAAATTTGAAATTATGCGAGCCAAATATTGGTACGTAACGATGACCAACAGTGACGTAATGCGGAGGGGGAGGGGGGTCGGTGCAGAGAGGGGCGAGTTTCCCCCCACCCTCCTCCACGAAACGCGGAAGCTTTGACGTTTCATTAAATTATTAGAGAAAGAAGACGATTCGTTGTACCGGTCTCGACTCAAAATCTTCGTCTGAATTTAGTTTTTCCGCTCCCGCGCGAAGCGCGAAAAATTTTACGATTTATTAAATTATTAGAGAAAGAAGACGATTCGTTGTAGAGTTCTCGACTCTTAATCCTTGTCGTAATTCAGCCCCCCTCCCCCTCCTGCGCGAAGCGCGGAAGCTTTGACGCTTCATTAAACTATTACAGAAAGAAGACGATTCGTTGTACCGTTCTCGACTCTTAATCCGCGTCTGAATTTAGTTTTCCCCCATCCCGCGCAAAGCGCGGAAAATTTTACGTTTTATTAAATATTATTATTAGAGAAAGAAGACGATTCATTGTAGAGTTCTCGACTCTTAATCCTCGTCTGAATTCAGGTTCCCCCTCACGAGCGAAGCGCGGAAGCTTTTACGTTTCATTAAATCATTAGA